TCTTTGGTTCAATCTCCATGAAGACTTTCTGCAGCGCATCAAAAGTGTGTCTGAGCTCATCGAAGACTTCGATGCGAGGGAGCATTAATGGCTGACTGCAAAGTCGAAAAATGGGGTTTTATGTGATGTCACGCTGTCACATGACAAGAAAACCTAAAGTGAAACCTAAGTAAACCTAAGTGAAAATATCATTTATTTTGAATTGTTTTATTTAATTTTATCCAGGGGGAGTGTCGTTTGCTTTGAAACAAACTGGAAATATCAAATTCAAAACGGAAACCACGATTTTTCATTCAACCAATTTAAAAATGCACTTTGAAGGAATGACAAAGTCTTTTCACTTTTTTCAGTGCAGAGTTTACAAGCTGTAAGAGCCAATTTTTTTCTTAAAAATGTTGCGATGCCAATAAGGTTCGTAGTTCTTATCAATTTACTTTGAAAATCAGAGAATAAATTTAAAAGTACCCTTTTCCAGCTGACAAAACCTAAATATGTATGCATTAAACTGAACAACAATCAGTATAGGGCATAACTGAACCTAAAAGAAATTAGTTTAGGTTTCAAAATTTATTCAAAATTTTCAGATTTCTTTTTATATTCCTCTTCAAAAACCAGGTATCTTTCTCATGAAACTTAATATAATTATGCAATTTTCTATGTTAGCGCATTTCGTAAAATCCCTCACAAATACGGAAATCTGGGAGGTAGCCATGAAAAAATTTTAAAAATTTAAAGAGATACGAATACAGATAAAACAGAACATCAGAGTGAGTGATTAAGCATGTGATCTCATTGTGTTTGTCACCTCTTTTATTAGTATAGAGGATTTCCTTTACCGCACATGTTCTGGGCAAAAGGTACGGGAAACTGGAAGAGCAGGGTGTTCATCATATCCTGTCAAATCAAAGGTTCCTACAGGTCATTTTACAATAAAGTGAGGGAAGGCTGATGTGTTTGAAAATAAGGTTGAAAAATAACTTTTTACAGTATAAAGAGTGCAGAAAGCCATCCATTCAGGGCATTTCCCTCCATACTGCTTTATAAACACAGAAATAAGAATTATTGAAAATAATTTAGCGGAACTTCTGAGTAAAAATTAAGGTTCCACAGTTAAAATACAGAAGAAGCTCTGTTAAAAACTAACACTGAGATGTCAATACATCTGTGCTTTCTCAAATTCTTAGGGATTTTACAACAGTAAAGGTGGAAACTATTTATCACAGGGTACTCAATAATTACAAAAGATTAACTGAAGTTTCACTGAAGAGTCACTAGTTTCTGAATTATTATTTAAATTCTAAATAGCTAAATAATTGTAAAGGGTAATCTTTTGTAGGTCTGATGTGGTATTTTTGGACTCAAGAAACAACCTCAAAAAGCATTGCTCTCAGTGAGTCTCTAAGGATTACTATCATTTTTTTAATCAACAAAAAGCAGATACACTTTGATAGGTAATCAATTTGCATGAAGCCAAGCCCTTTAAGAGAATTTAAGAGTTTAATGAAGAAAAGGCAAAGCTGGGGTTCAGATGTTTCAGCAGAGCAAAGTGCAAACCTAGTGTAAAAAAACAAACAACAACTTTAGGTTACTTTCGTAACCCCTGTTCTCTGATTAGCATCTGTGAGTGTCACACATTGGGAACGCCTTAAGCGTGACCTAATCAGAAGCTCCTTTTTATTACGCCACCAAGGATTGGCTGGATAATAAGCCTTTCAGTATCAGTGAGGGTAGGGTCCCTCCCCCTATTTATAGGGCTGACAGTTATTCAGCAGCAAAAGTGCGAAGAATACTTTTGATAAAGAACAAATTTTTAATAGGAAACAGACACGTGTGATAAGGCTGCATATTGCCTGTATTTGTTTCTGTTTACAATATGAAGCTAATAAATACTATGTCACATGCAGTAAGGAAAATAAGTATATAAACACCGTGGTATTTTGCAAGTTCTCCCATTTAGAAACCATGGAGGGTTCTGCAATTGTTATCATAGGTGCATGTCCACTGTGAAAGACAAAATCTAGAAAAATAAAAAATAATCAAGAACTCACAATGTATGATTCTTTATCTATTTATTTGTATGATGCTATGTTGAATACTACAAATAATACTATATGTTCTTCAATATATACAGACCCTAAAGAGTCCAGTGGGAAACAAAGCTGTTTATCACTATTTTTGACAACATTTATCATTAAAAGATTACAGGTTGTTTTTTTTTGTTTTTTGGTTGTTGTGTATATGGTGCCTCACAAAAGTAGTCAAAACCTTTCAGCATTTTGCCATTTTTCATATCACAATCTCTATTTTATCTGGATTTTGTAATTGAATGAATAAGGTTGCTTCACATCCTTCAAATGACACAGCTTTACATGACTAGAAACTGATTTCATTACGGCTAGTATTGTTTGTTATGGTCATTGTCCTGCTCAAACTATTTTGCAGCCTCTTTTAGATTTTTTTTTCTTTTCACTCCACAAATTCCATGTGTATTCTAGGATCAATCAATCTCCTATCAATTCTGAACAGCTTTTCTGTCCCAGCTAAAGAAAAGCTTCCCCACAGCATGATACTACTATACAAATGAGCACATCTGAAAAAGGAAATGCTGTGTTCATGTTAATACTTCGAATTAGTTTTAGTTTAACACCGCATAAATTAATTGACATTGGGGAGAATTTTTTTTTGTGCGTGTGTGTGTGTCTCATCTCACCAGAGCACTTTCCTTCATCCTTTCATAGTTTTTGGAAAACTTTAAATGGAATATCTTGTACCAATTTCTGTCCTGTAAAAAGATTCTCTCACATAAGCAGTGGCTCTCTACAGCTCCTCCATTGTTATGTAGGATACATATTTGTTTTATTTTTTTTATTTGAAGCAGATTAAAGGGGTTCTTTTATGTTTCTTTTTCTCTGCTTGTTTTTCTTATTGTGTCTTTGTGTTGGTCTGTGAAAACAAAACCAAATGCAATACTTTTAATTTGTGTTCATAAAGTTGCAAAAATTAAAGGAAAAGTCCAGAGCGTACATCTGATAATATGCTGTAAATTTAAGTAGTACTATTAATTAATTAAGAGTTTTCCTCTTTTCTCTTCCAATTTGTTTTGTAATTTTACATTTTCTTTTCTGTGTCCTCACCTCAGATGACAACGAATGTCAGAATGTGACCAATATCTGTGGGGAAAAGGCCGAATGCACAAACACAGATGGCAGCTACTACTGTACATGCGTCCCTGGATACATTTCGAGTGGAGCCACACAGTTCCAGCCCAACGATGGCACTGGATGCATTGGTAATCTCTGGGAAAGACTGTAAATATGTTAAAAAACTAAACAAAACACACATATGGATTTTCAGCTAAACCCACTTTTTTAAGACCTCAGTACAAGTACCTAAGACAAATGTGTTTTAAAGCAGTTACTGCACAGCTGTGAGAGCATGAGGTCTGCATCAATGTGTGAACTGTTTTCTCTTTCACTGAAGAGGTGAGGATAAATATGGTGGAGTACCTTTTTGTTCCTCTTCAGCCTCTTGTTACTCCTTTCCCATCTGCTGGCCTGAAAACCCTCTATGATTGTTTATTTTGTACCAAATGGGGAGAAAAAAAATCACTGCATCCTAACAAAGCTGAAAACTGAGGAATTCCTTCAGACATCCAACCAGACGTCAAGGAAAAATGCAGGAGGGTTCTACTTAAAAAGATACTTGCAAAGGTTTAGCAATCTGAGGTTCAAGTTCCACAGAAACAAATGAAATTAAATCCAAAAGACTTGCTTTTGAAAAGCTGTGGCTTATATTGAAGTTTAATCATTTAATTGAAGCCCTCTTCTTATTTGCATCTTTTAGATTTCGATGAATGCACGTCAGAACAGATCTGTGGCCCAAACTCACTCTGCCATAATACGAATGGATCTTTCTATTGTTCCTGTCAGCGTGATTACATCTCAACTTTGGGCAAAAAGCTCTTTTATCCAGAGAAAGGTGTAAGATGTGAAGGTTGGTATGTGAATCAAGAGCCTGCACTAAAGCACAAAGCAGGGGTCCTTTGATATGGACTTAGAAAGATATTTGTAGTCTGTTATAGCATTTCAAAATTTTTTTTCCATACATTTTGAATATTTTCTTAAAACTGTTCTATAACACATCACTGGATTGTAAAAATTTGAGCCATTTTAGGAAGCCTTGATGATAAAACTGAGGACCTGATATGCTGCTTAATTTAACACCATAGACTTCTTTTTTTTTTAGAACATCCCCAAAAATATTGCCATGACAACATTGGATGCATGACACAGGCTGTCAACAGAACACTTGAAACCGTAAGTGCCCCTCTGGAAAAGGATGGTAAAAATAAACATTCCAAAGCTGCCCCCTGTTGGAGAACATGAACACTAACAGGACACAGAGCAGGTTAAAGCTACAGTGTTTTTAAAAAAAAAACTATTTTTAAACCATCAGTCTCCGTGCTCTAAGAAAGACCTGCATTTCCCACCTGCGTGCCAGAGAAGTAACACCACATGCGTTTATAACAATATTAAACCGAATACAAAAAACAGCAATTGCAGTCAGTATGATAATATTTTGTGAAACAAACAAACAACTTAAACATAAGGTTGAATTGTGGAAAATAGGTAATTGGCAGTTTTTTTTTAGTTTGTTTTGTTGTTTTGTTTTTTTGTATTAGTTTTTTCTTTTTGCTTTAAAAGTAAAATAAGATTGAATCTTTAAATTGAGCCTGTATTTCAGCTTTACTTACATAAATGCCCGCATGCAGAATAAATTTGAATATAACTATAATATAATAAATATGATATAATAATTACTAAGACATACTGCAGACACAGTCATTTGGCTCTTTAGCTGAGAACTTTATTACATGTGGCTATTATTATATATAATACATTATATCGTTTTATAAAAACTATAATTTTTCTTGGTCCTAGAACCCATCTTGCTATCCCATAGATAAAATGTATATCAAAATAACTTTTTAGTTTAAATCAGAGTTTACTGATGTTACATCTCTAGAAATCCACAAAGACACTTTTAGCTTACTGAACAGGAATTCATGTTTATATGAGCAACCTACACATTTCATTTTGAAAATCACAGAAAATTAATAGATTTAAACTCTCTTTTGGTATATTTTTTTGGTTTAAAATCATTCAGTTGTTTGATTGTAAATCTTTCCTCCTTTAGATGAGCAACCTCAAGGAGCCACAAAGCCTATTGAGAGAAATTGTCAACAGGACGTCTGGTGAACTTACCTCAGTGGAAGTGATCGCATATGTTGAGGCCTTGAGTCGATCCACATCAACACTGGCTGCTGTGGAAAAGGATTACACTGTCAAACCATCTGTCGTCAACTCCACTCTTTCTGTAAGCTTTTTGCCTTTATTGTTTTTTAGTAAAGAGTTGGAGCTTTGCCGAAACACCAGCCATGCGGTTTAAGAAAACGACTGGTGCTATATGAAGACATGCCCTCTATAAAACTTTGCTCTCTGATATTACTTCGTCTTAATGAGATATCTGTGTTGCCATGCAAAGGTAGTCATAATACTTTTCATTTTAAAGTAATAAACCTCAATGCATTTTGTTGTTAATTTTTTGAACGCTTAGTAGTACAAGTTGCCTTAAAGGCATAGTGAAGGATATTCACGCATGCAAGAGCATACATGAGCCCATTTCTCCTCATGCACGCTCTGTTTAAAAGTTGCTCTTTGCATCACTCATACAAGCTTACTTTCCCAAAGCAGATTTGCAATCGTTTCCACTGTCAGACTCACCTCTGGTAAGTGAAAATGGGGATGAGCACATAGGACGGCCGTACATAAACATACTATTAGAATGAGTGACAATTAGGAGGACCACTTATTTTTATGATCCACCCAGAAAAAGAACACCCTCTACCATACCTTTAATTGACAATAATCACATATCATGTACAATGCTGTAGCACCATAGAGTGATTGGTTTTAGGTTTCAGGTTTTCTGTTTTTCTGAAGAAAATTTTATAAAGTTCTGCATTTGTTTTCAGCTGCTTTCCTTTCAAATGCCTCAGTAAAATTCAATGCAACCAGTTGTCTTTAGTACTTAATACCTTAGTAAATAGCCTGTCGGTCCCATGTGTAGTTTATCAGAAGCCAATCTAAGGACAGTGAAAATGTGGAAGTGCTCTGGTCAAATGACCAAGCTTCAATTTTTTTGCACAATTGGTCTGTATTAAGAAGAACTAAAATTGCACATCACCTCAAACACACCAGTCTCATAATGATGGTGATCGCAGCATAATACTGTTGTGATGCATTTTTTTTCTGCAGTTGATCAGAGCTAATGTTTAAAGGATTAAGCTAAATACAACAAATATAAAAAAAAAAAAAAACACAAAATATATTGTATTTGAGAGTGCGGAAGTGCTGGGTCTGGGGCTGATGCATTAAAATGGCACAGTCAAATTACAAAACTTCCCCAAAATATGTTTACAGATGCTCTCCATCTACAAAACCGGATAATTTTACCAAAAGGCGGGTCTGTTAAGAGGGGTGTTGAATCAAAATCCATGCTACACTTTCTAGATTTAGATCCTTGTATCATTTTAATTTGACCTCACTATTATGCTCTTATTTACAACAACATAATTTGATATTGGTGTTACTAACATGAAAATTTTTACATTTTGGAAAATCTTAGGAGTATCTATGTTAGGCACTGTACAGTATAAACTGAACTATCAGCAGGACACAGCTCTGTAAACCGGTTTTATATCTTATCTTAATAGCTGTGTATAAATAAAACGTATAAAAAAATGTCTTTGCTGTAGAGATCAACATCACATCTAGATATCAATACTGATCATAAAATTTCCTGTCAAACAGAAATTAGTCAGTGCAGCAAACAATCTGTTGGAGAAGGACGAACTGGGAGCTTGGAACAGAATGAGAGAAGAGCAGCGAGGGCATACCATCACCAAGCTGCTACATGTTGTTGAAGAAAGTGCTCTATCATTGGGCAACAACCACAAATCTCCAACTGAGCTTCAAATCACGGCATCTGAAATGGGTAAGGAAAATGTGTTTACAGAGAGTCTCTAAATTCTCTTTTACATTAAATTCTCTAATTGTTGAATATTTCATAATATTGCTCTTTTTTTTTCCTCAACAGAACTAAGGCTCTTCACATTTAATTCTGCTCAAAAGAAGACTAAGCTTTCTGTTTCAATGGGAGGGGACCACATAAACCTAACTCCAAAATTAAAACCAGAGGAGAAAAGAAGTGGTAAAGATGATCAATCTGATGCTCTGTCATGAAAAAGCATTTGCTCCTTTACATAATTTTTCTTCTTTTCTTTTGTCAGCCTTACTTAATGGATGTTAACTGCTTTATGACACTGTGTTCGCTGCTTCAGTCCCATGACGTTGAAATTTCTTTGCAGCAATTTTTAGATTGATAAGTGATAAATAGACTTAACTTCTAGTTTTTTTTAACTCATATTGACAACTGAACGCGCCTTAACAGTGGAGCGACATTGATAAGCAATGATTTACTGATATGCAGATCAAAAGAGCCAAGGCACCTTTTTTCAAGGGTACCTTTAAGCTCTACAACAAAATCAAACACTGCAAGTTGGACAGCTGTAACAAAAGCTGGAACAACTGCATGATATATGATAATAATAACCCATGGGTAAAGCCAGTGAAATAAACATAAAAAGGCTCTATTACAGTTTTTTTATGATTTACCAAGCTGGGGAATTATCTTTTCCAATAATCCCAGGTTAGTCTGAACAGACATTTTCACCCATGAATAATCTGTTATGGTATAAAAATGTTTTTTATTACACTCTTGAAAATCAGCTACATGTGAAAATAGACCAAAACTTTGAAAATATTGTTCTGAAGAAAGAGTTTAAAGGATTTTAAAAAAGTTGAAAAGTTGGCCTTATAATTTCTATATCTCAAAGAGCTCTCAGCCCCCTGATGTCCTCTAAGACAAATTTCTAATATAAAACTTTATGAGCTGACAGACTTCCTTGGTAAAAGTTTGATCAGCAGCACATAAGTTTCACTCCCTCTCCTCTTTGTTCCACTTGTTTTGTCCACCAGTAAGTGTGTCAGTGGTGTTTGTGCGATATGACAGCATCAGTGTCATCCTGAAGCCGAGCAGCGACCCAGGTGTCACGGATTACTCACGCTATGCTGGAACAGGGGAAATCACTGTCAACTCCCAAGTCATGGCAGCAGCCATCAAACCTGCTGACGTTTACCAACTTGACCATGTCACCTTCACTCTGAGGCACAATGAGGTAAAGAATGAGCAGAGTGCTGATGCTAGTTGCATTGTTATTTCCGCCCTCTCATATGTTGCTGTCCTTTTAAAATGTACTCCAGAGGAATCTACTTGTGCTTAAGAGCATACCACAGAGGAATCTCTTTTCCTAAAACTGTTGACATGCAGGTTTATGTTATTCTTTAGGGGTTTGGATACAAACTCTTTGAAGATCATATGAATCATCAAATTCTGATTAAACCACTAAAAACGTCTAAGGTGTCTCCGTCTTGGTCAGTCGAAGCCTTTTTTCTGTATTAATGTGAAAATAACACTAAGAAAGTAATGAAATAATCAGAGTAGAAAAGTCTGAAACATAGTAATGGAAAGAAATGACAAAAATGTGCGGAAAAACACAAAGAAATAGAAACAATAAGACCAAAAAAGAAGACAAAAAAACAGAAAAGATAGTTTTACAAGTTACATCAATAAAGTTTAAAGTGCTGTATCTTTAAATTTAAAAAGTAAATAAATCAAGAGACATGGGAAGCAAAGAAACAAAATTAAAAAAAGTTGACAGAGATACTTTAAATAAATTTTACACATTTACAAAAATATCTATCAAGCAGCTACAGAAATATACAGCAAAACAACAACAAACGGCAACAAAAAAAAACGCATCACCTCTGCAAACAAAATCTAAAAGGGCTACAAAGGAGATCAAAGGAAAGAACAAAGAGAGGAAATAAAGAGACAAACAAAGGAAGAAAAAAACAACAACAAATGATTGACAAATGTAAATGATTAACAATATATCGCAAACAGCAAGAGACCCACACAAAACTAAGTTACAACAGAGTTTTTCCGATTTCCTTCCGTTCAGAGTGGACATGGTTCTTTATGATTGAAATGCCGCTAATTTTACATGTGACTTAACAAGTCGGTACACCTGTTTTCATTGATTGACTTTGTTGATCTCAAAGTGGAGAAATTTACTCGTTACATCAGCCCAAATAGTCCAAAGGAAGAAGGTGCCACAAGGAAAAAAAGATGCATGGAGTATATACAGTATTTACAGTGCATCCACATATATGCAGTCCTTCACTAAAGGAGCTGTTCTTACTACCTGCTAAGTTTACATGAAATGTTTGTCTTAATTATAGCTAAATATAAGCCACATTTATGTATTTATATTTATTTTTTCACATAATATTATTTGCCATTGGTATCATTTGCATTTCTAGGTTAGGTTTCTCATCCCCCAGTCAAGAACTGGCAAAACTCCAGCCTCTGATTTACACTTAAAATCAAATTTCATCTTACCTTTACATCTAAATCAATATTTCTTTAAAAACATTAAAAGATAGGGGGGGGGAAACAGAGTATAATAAGATGAATTACCATAAAAGTTAATGTTATGCTATTTTTTTTTTTTTTTTTTTTAGATAATTAAATGTGCGAAAAAGTGATACCATTATTTTTGTGGTCCCCTGGAGGTTTAAATCTAACAAAGGTGGTGTTGATTTATGTTGAGGGGAGAAAATTACATTTAAATTGCCTTTAAAGATGAACAATAAATAATTCCAGTGACATTCAGAGTGAAAGTATTTGTAATCTTCCACACATCTACCATTTTCGATATTTAAGAGTTCTAAATTTGTACACATTAACATTTTAACATAGGATATTAGTTGAAAAAAAGGAATATAAATTAAAATAAACACCTCAATAACTTGTAAATTGAAATTACTTTTTTAAACTAAAATGGTGCTTTGTGATAACACTGAGTCACCTGAATCAAGTTAATTGTTAAGCTGCATTTATGATCCCTGTTCAGTGTTTTGTTACATGAAGTACTGCAGTGCCATAACTAATAAATAAACTTTTTAACACCAACTCTGCTTTTCTCCTGTCCCTGAAGCCCATAGACACTAAAGTGGACGTGACGAAGTGTGCTTTCTGGGAGTATGAGGTGGACACTCTGCAGGGTCACTGGTCCACCAAAGGCTGCAAGACGCTCCACATCAGCAGCAATGCAACCAACTGTTCCTGCAATCACCTCACACACTTTGCAATTCTCATGTCATCTGGAAGAGCTAATGTGAGTAATTTTGCTCTCAAATACAACGCTGAAGGTTCTGCTCCTTTACTTCGTATCAAAGTCTAATTCTTCTGGTCAGGAGGGCCGGTGTTTTTAAAGCGGTGCATTTAACACTGAAACAAATATACATGTTTTTGTTTAAATATTCTTTACATTACTGCGCATGTTTTCACTGTCCTTTATAAAGTCAGGAAATATAACTTTCAAAATGTAATTTATTGGCATAATTTTTTAAGATGCGCTCAATTTTATTTAAATTATTTTCTGAAGATTTTGTTTTTTAGATTAGTTTAAGTTAATTATTCATACTTATATTAAGTTTTGCATGCACTGCAAATTATTTTTACAAAACCATAACATCTTTTTGTTGCCTGAAATATTAAAACACTAGGAAGTTTAAATAGAAGCTTGCTGTTTTTTAAAATGCAATACAGTTTTACTGTACCCAGTGGAGTCATAGACCGGGAGGGGGTTTTATAATTACTATAAAACTAATTCTAAATGCGGATGAAAACAAATCAGCAAAAATATGTTGGGAACCAAACTTAAAACAATAATTAAGGAAAGTCAGTCAAACATACATTTTAGCACAGCATGTTTTTAATATTTTTAGACCAGTACAAGCCTAGTATTTCTATCATCCACCATATCGGGGTAACCTCTGCCTACATCTATGTTATATGAAGTGATTCCAAGCAGAAAATACAACAACTTACAAGTCCAGTATACCATGAAACTGTGAATGAAACACCTCCCTTTCTATTTGCTCCCCAGCTGGCGGCCCACAATACCATCCTGACTCGGATCACCCAGCTTGGGATGATCATCTCCCTTATCTGTTTATCCTTGTGCATCTTCACCTTCTGGTTCTTCAGTGAGATCCAGAGCACCAGAACCACCATACACAAGAACCTGTGCTGCAGCCTCTTCATGGCAGAGTTCATCTTCCTCGTGGGGATAAACATGACCTCACACAAGGTGTGAAGGCACATGAAGAGAAAACAGAAAATTGAGTTTGACAACCCTCTGATATTTAGTAAACTTATTCCATTTTTTTTTTACTTCCATTAATGTATGCATATATTAAATTAATTGAATATTTTACAAATAATTTTTGGTATTTGTAAAATATATCTCTGTCTCTTTTCTTTCTTAATTCTTTGCAGCTTTTCTGCTCTGTGATAGCAGGGATGCTTCACTACTTCTTTCTTGCAGCCTTTGCCTGGATGTGCATTGAGGGCATTCATTTGTATTTAATAGTAGTTGGCGTCATCTACAATAAAGGCTTTCTGCACCGCAACTTTTACATCTTCGGCTATGGGAGCCCTGCAGTCGTGGTGGCCATCTCAGCAACACTCGGCTCAAAGTACTATGGCACAGAAAGAGTGTAAGGACAACAAAAGATAATCATATTTTTGAACTTTT